CGGCCCCGCCCGCCTGACGCCGCGCCGCGGGGCACGCTGGGAAACGTAGTTCCGGCGAAGGGGCGCGGGCGGCCTGCGCCCGCAGGGAGCGGATGGCCGCGGCCCCGCACCGCGGGGGCCCCCTCCCCGTCCTCAGCAGAAGCAACGCTTCTATCACTGAAAAGCGACGGACGAGGCTGGTTCAACTCCACAAATTTTATTCATACAATGATGTTAATACGTAAAAATCTAGAAAACGTTGTGCATTCCATTGTGCTTCCAGTCAGTAGTCAATTATATTTGCATCATATAACAGCAACTTACTTTTTTCAGAGGCACTCCCCATATTCTTAAAGAATAATGTGCTTAGAGATTTTTACTTTTGTGTTTTGTTGACTCTGCAGCTCAAAGCTGCCATGCCCATCATACCAATACCTCTTCCATTCATTATGCAAATGTCCCAATTATCTTGTGTCCTCATTATTAGCAGCAACTGCAATTGTCCCTTACACAGAGTTCCTACCTTCTACATAACATGTAAACATTAAAAAATACTGAAGAGTTCATGAAAAAATAACTGCACTCAGTGCTCTAACTCTTGTGTTATTCAAACACATTACCATTTAAGAATCGATTCGGGATATTTTTGAAGACATTTAGGACTTTATATCCATAGAGCTGGTGTAGTCCACATGAAGATTTAAAGAAAACGAGCTAAATTTTGTCCATGTGCATATATATACGCAATCACACAAAGTCTCTGCTACATAAAACAGCAATGATTAGAGATTGGTTTCATAGGAAAAGTTTGAATTTCCCTGTTCACTGAAACACAGTTCATTCCTTTACACAGTTTACAATCAAGGATCAAAATTGAAAGAGCATAAAATTAAGACAATAGCTTCAGTTCTCCAGTTTGTAAATGATTTGGAACTTGAGTTACACACCTGAAGAATTGCCAGATGCCTGACTACTTAGTTTATTTTCTTATAAAGAAGAATTAGCACTTCACTGAACTCCTCTATTTAAAGAGCTTTTATATCACAAAATAGTTCAATCTGAGAAAAAGAAAGATATACAAAATATATGAAAATGTATCTGAAAAATGTTTCTTTAAATTTAGGCTCCATATCAAAGATACCTGAAAGAGAGGAATGAAAAACGCACTTGAGGAAATTGGAAGAAAAAAAAAAAATTAAAAGTCCTTGTCAGTTTTGAAAGAATTTTGTATCTGGCATTGATCTCACCACAGCAGAAGAAACTACAACCAAGTACCCTATGGGCCTTTCATTCATGTTCCTCTTGCTAATAAAGAATAGCTTCCAATGGCTTTTGCAATAATGCAGTATTAATGATAATCGAAAATAAGACATTTCTGATTTAATAGGATAGTCTTACTTCTCTCCCCTAAGCATATGTAAATATAACATCCCAACGTCCTAAAGATTCCAAACTAACTGAAGCATTTCTAGCTACCTGAGAAACAAAGTATTTGTTATGGACTCATTTATACAAAGATTCATATGGAATGCTTAAATATATAATGTTTATGCGAAGACCTCCTGGCTTATTACAAAATAGAGCTAAAAACTGGGTAAATGAACTCTAAGAGTTGGTGTAGTAACAGAGCTTTTAACAAAAAAACTGAGTGAAAAGTAAAGCAATGTTTTAGATTAGTAAATACTGAGGATTGCAGGATGATACTGCTATGTAATGTGAGTGATGGCTTTTACACATGCAGTGTTCATACCTGAATCATGTCCCTTAAAAAAAAAAAAAAAATCTGTTTTCAATAAGTATAGACAGATTTTTTTTTTTCATTACCCCTACAAAAATAGAGAAGAGGGCTCAATGGAAATTTAAAAAATCATTTTTTCCAGTGCCCCACAGAAGATATAGACTGGCGAGTTGCCAATTACTTTTCTGAAAATAAAATGGAAGATACCCAGCATCTCCTGCGCTGAGGTCCAAAGTGACCTACAAGCACCCTTAAACCACACAACAAATACTTCTAAAGTTCATATCCACAAAGGGCAACCTACTTTACCCTCCAAAACAAATAGATACTGCAAACAGCTAAGAGCTCTTGACCTCTGTAGTGCTCTACAGTAGGAATTAAAGGTGATCATAATCTGAGTTGCTTATAGCTTGTCCATAGACAGTATCTATTTGAAGAAAGAAAATCAGAATTTTCAAGGTTGTTTTGACTCTCTTGCCAGCTCCTCCTCCTGATTCACACTGTCCTTTGAAGAACAGGTACATCGTGTTTTCCCTATCTTCCTCTATAAAATTGAACGATTACTGTGTTAACTAGCACAAAAAGGGAAGTTGCACAAGCAGTACAAAGATTAACGTCTCACTATTGCTGACTAATTTCAATTTGACACAAACCAACAAAACAGCCATTTTCCCTGAGAATCAATCCAAAAAGCAGCCTCTTTTCACTCCTTGTAGATTAGCCCTGTAGTCATACTTCTGCAACAAACTAGTCTACTCCATTCACGTTCTGTTCTTTTTTGTATCCTATCACCTTGACGAGCCAAGATACAAGAGCTAAGCATAAGGTTCCAGACTGCATTATTACAGATGAGTTGTCTCCAAAGACTTAACAGAAGCAGTATCGATCTCTGATATCTAATGCACTATTCAGCTTTTTGGCATACAAGTTAATCAATTACAAACAGTATTGCAAACATGTAGAAGTCATTAATCTCTTCAGACATACATATTGATAGACTCCAGTTAGTATAAAAGTGCAGTCAATATAATACTCAGTGCCCTGCAAAGACATACTGGTTTCATTTACAGTAATTTCAAGTTCACATGACAGATTTCGTATTAAACTTATTTCCACTTCCAGTGTTCAATAACTGTTATAATACTGTAGTAAGGTTATTCCTGGGCAAGCAGAGAAATGCTCTGAAGATAATCTGCAGATGCCATTATAAATTCAGTCCATTCCTTGGCCAGCTCTTCAATGGAGACTTCCTCCCCACCATATTCCTGTGGGAGAATGCTGACCGGGAAGTGTTCGGTCAGACTCTGCATGTAGTTGTTTCCATGCATATGCACCTAAAACAAAATATGAAAAGCATTTACTTGGGTAAGAATGCTAGACTACTGAGTGAAAACAGGCAGCAACAAAACTCAGTGCAAGAGCTGAAGCCACCAGCTTGGTTCGACTAAACAAGTATACTTGTTCATAATGAGCTCCTTAAATGAAGAAATATCACCATGTAAGTGAGCTTCCCATGGGTGCTCAAACTCTGTCCCGCTCAGTATCTGCAGCTTGATGAAGCATTGACTACAACCAGAGAACTGCATTTTATGCAGCTGCAAGCACAGGAGCCGAAACTAACTACACGCTTGTTCCAGACTGGTTTAGCGACACTGATAAGGGTACACATTACATTCGTAGAGCTAAAGTGACTTCAACCATGGGAAGACTGGGGTTTGGTCTTGTCATGATAGACATCACGTACTTGCTTTTCAGTCATTTCCAAGAAAAGAACAGTGTTTGGCTCCTGGCCATTCGTATCTGTTCCCGCCATATGTATTTAAAACCCACATTATGTAGTATGTAGGTAGGTCCAGACAGGTGCCAAGGAGGATATTCAGAAGAATCTATATCTCAGTCCTTATGTTTCAGTTCCAGCTGAAATTAGATCCTGGACTACTCCTCCACTTTAACCCTTGTAATACTGTAGTTTTGATTCTTCTTTTCTTGCTTTATTGTAGCTATTTTGAAGCCTCGTTCATTACTTTCAGTCAGAAACTTTTATTGGCCTCTTATTAACACCTGACAAGAATTTTCTGCAATTATTATTACACAAAGACTACAAGAATATGTACTCAAAAGGTAGCTGGCTGCCTTTCATCTAACACTTCCTCATCAGGAAGTAAGATAATAAGTGAATAGTAATTCCTATGAAGGTATGAGGAACTGGCCCTTAGAGGTTTTTTTTCAGATCATACCTGAAACTCTAAGCCAGGAGACAAGCCAATCTGCTCCTGTTCCATTCCATGACGTGGGATATCTGGTTTGTTTTCTTTTAGGCCTTTACTGTCCATCTGCCCCCTTTTCTGCTTTTTGAGTTTTAGCCTGAGATAGTCTGAGCTGGATCAGGTGATAGGGGCTTGTTTCGCAGTTATTAGTGTGAGAGAAGAGCCACGGCATCAGGCTGCTGGAACATCCTCACTTCATCATCTTTTCAGAGTGAGGGACTGACTGCACAAGGCTGGCAGAAACGATCCTGCCTCTCTCCCATAACTAAAACACATGGGCTAGGAAAAGGGAACTGGCAAATAACAGCCAACAGTGACCAGAAAAATCGGCATCTACTGTCCTCAAGTGCAATGGCTACTGCAAATGCACAAGATCCATGTGCTGAAACAAGGAGGCTTCAGAGTGGGAATAACGATAGGCAGTGCTGCTTATTTTGTACCTTAGTCCTGCTGTTAACACTTCACAGTATTTCCTTTTCTTCCAGCTGGAACCTTCAATATTCTTCCTATGCTACAAAACCCAGAGTTCTGCCAGAATTCCTGGCATGCTTTTGCATCCGAATTCAAACAGGGTTTTCAGATTTAAAACTGCAAAACAATTTAAAACAACTAAGAAGCTATTTGGAAAGAAATTTTGAACTCAAGCCTAACCTATTTTTGATGCATAAATGCCTCTGCAGGTCTTTCAGAATGAAAAAGTTGTCTTCTACTAATTCTGCACAACTTGGAGCATAACATCACTGTTCAGTTACAGTTTCTCTCTGTCATTTATAGGCAGAGTGTTGGGAGATCCGGGACCTATTTCTTCCTAGTCCTGCAGAAGAATTGCTGTGTGACCTCAAGCAAATCATTTAACCTCTCTGTGTCACACTGTTTTTTATCTTTAGAGTGGTGATAACAGCAACCACTTTTAACTCTCATGTTATTGACAACTGCAAATGCTTTACAATTAGATTCCGGAGGCCTGTGTGGCACTAACACACAAAAATGATTTATCCTCTTCGGTGCCCAGGAGTACCAGATCCTAAGGGAAGTGCTGCAGGTTGTCATGTAGGGGGTTTGTTGCAGAAAGAAATATTTGTGTGCACTCACCCGTTCTTTTATTTTTTCAGTGAGAAAAGGCTTAATTAGAGCGAAGACTGGGTGGAAGAATAAAGGCTCATTAATCAAGTGGATACCTCGAACTTTTAGTGGAAAGGAATCCTGTCAACATATATGAAAAACACCATAAGAAAAAGAAAATATTGTTGAAAAGATTCTATTGTTAACGACAAATCTGTGAAAACTGTCTAGTCCATAAGTTAGAGTATTCCTCCTGACCTTGCTAATACCTGCACTTCAGAGTGTTCTTAGTTTACACTGCCCCAACAATGCTTAGAAAAATTACATCTTGTTCCTCCCATTAGAAGGGAAACAAAACAAAAAACCAAAAAACAATATGAGGAGAGGTTACTAAAAAAAAAGGCAGCAAACAAACAAAAAAGCCCTCACCAAATTACACATAAGTAATGTACACAACGTTTGTGCTCAGCCTTTCCTCAGAGGTACAATTCTTCACAGCAGAGATTCTGCTGCTAATTTACCAAAAAACTATCTAGCCATGTGCTTTCATTGGCAATTCACAGCCTGAAGGTTAATATGTAAATATATATAAATATAAACCATTGAAGCTACTAACTTTAAGTTAAATAAATTTTGAATATAATTTAGAGACCTTATAAATGTAATTTAGAGCCTTGAAATTACTGGGAATTTGCCCAAGTCAGAAGTTCAGCTTTACAACAAGATTACTGTCATAATGAAAATAAAAATTGTATCTGCTACACAGCCTTTATAATATGAAATACTTCCACGTGCATTCAAGATTCATTTAGAAGTCCCAGACCTTTGCAAGTTAAAAGAAAATATGGTGGTGCTCAAAGACAGCATTATGCAATGAGGAAAGTATAGCTTCCATTCATATCCCAACTGATACTGCCTCTGTGACCAGAGGTTTTCTGCTTATAAAAATGGTACTTCTCACAAACAGTTGTCCCCACTAGTACAGTAGCTCTTCTCACGTTATTTCATGCACTCTTCAATAGATTAAAAAACCCAAACCCCACACATTTCTTCAGTGCAACTCCTTTTAGATTTTAATGTATGATAAAGACCTTAAAACTATCAGATTATAGGTTTACTGCATTTTATTATGTGTTATCATATACTTAAAGTCTACCATCACATTTTTCACAAAACAGTTTGGTTTTGCCTGGGATAAAGATTTTTCAAGATGATCTTACTAATGTTACTATGCTTGCCATTCCTTAGTACCTATTGCTTTTCTGTTAACTTCTGTTTCTTCATACAGGGTAGTACTTTGCAAGACACGTTTCTCAAGAAAAACATAGGGTTGAAACTAAGATTCCTTAATTTTTACTTATAAGCATATTGAACAACACTAAGACAATCTCTGGGTGAAATATATGAACTCAATTAAAGTGATGAAAGGAATCTGAAAAAAAAATGAGTTAAACTTATTTCTCTTCTTAGAAAAGAACATTGGAAACACAATTTTTTTTCTACCTTTTTTTCAATAGGTATAATAAACATTTAGAAGCTTGAAAAACATGCAACAAATTTGAAATAGGTCAAGATGGAAACATCACATTCAAAGAATTTCCTGGTTCTAGATAATGGATTGAAACCTTCAGACATAATTGCAAATCCTATTCTACCTCCTTTCTGCTCTATTTCAAGGTTAAAAAATTACTAGCAACTGGTTTACTACCTCAGAAATCAACTGAAACACTCTCACACATCCTGTTCTCATGAGATCTGGCCCAGGATCAATGAACAACAAGAGTTCTAATTCTAGACGTGAAAAGTTGGGAATACCTGCTGGTTTCACTGAAGTTTTACAGTAGATACCAAAAATGAAGAACAGCTGAAGTTCTCATGATATTAGCTCATGACTAAGCTTTGACTGAACCTCAGATATGAACCTTACCAGAGGTTATCAGAGCAAGAGATTATCTCCCTGGCTCATTTCCACATCATAGGCTAACAGTTTTATTATTACTGATTTTCCTCCTAACTTCTGAACGAAAATGGGATTATAGGACTACACTGTAGCTTGCCTGTCAATTCTCTGTCCCCTTCTTTTTTTCTTTTGTTCCTTTTTTTCCCCCCTCTCAAATCCATTAGCAAAGTTCAACCGAATTTGACAGAAAGGAACAAGTCTTAAAGACAGTAAAGTCCCTAGAAGTTTTGTGAAAAATAGGTGAGGTAGCAGTGAGTTGCACAAAATAATGTCCACGTTGGGGGGCAAAAAGCTAGCAGACCGTAAACATTATACATTCTGTTGGTAGCAGCTGGATGGTTATGTAGCATCATCCATAGTGGTAACAAGTTAGTACTGTCTTGCTCTTAACTACTCTTAGCACATGCTATTTTTCATCTTCTCCAAGTCTCAGGGGAAAAAAGCTTTGAATGTTGTGTTAATGCACAAAAGAATCAGAGAGATGAAATGGGATAACAAACGCAGATCCTTACAAAACTGGGCTTCATCTGCTCTTACACAAACTCTTGCGTTTTAACAGGTTGGTGGAGTTCTTATAAAACATCAGAGGTTAAAGGACATTTACTGCTATACAAGAACATACTTTAAGTGAAATCAAGCACAACCTATGCCTGAGCTATCTGACTTTTAATGGATTTAAGATTTTGTTCTTTAAAGCTGCATAGACTCTAAGAAGGTCTAAGGAAGGAAAATTTACCATAACTTAGAGCAGATGAAAAATTGGGAGTTATAGCAATGAAGACACATAAAGCAGTATGTCATACTCACTGTGAGCACAGCAGCAATTTTCTTGGCCACTGCTGGACTGATTTGAAATGCATGAGCAAATCGCCACCCTTGAAGATCAAAGATAGCCTTGACTCCATTCCGCTGAGTCTCAATCTCCTTTACAATGAGTTCAGATGTGATAAGACTTACACGAAACACATCGTATGCCGTAAATAACTTGGGATCCCATTGTCCTGACGAGTAAATAGATTGCACTGCGTTACCACAAGGATGCCACATACACCTGTACTTTTTATTACTGCTTCTGACGTGCTTCTCAGGAACAAAAGCAGTAACCAGCAATATCAAAGGCCCTGAAATAAACAGATTTGCCGTACAGAAGTTATTTTGTGTGCCTATTCTGTCACTCATCTTTTGAGCTCTTTTTGTAGATGGTACCACCTAACAGTAGATGGTTGTAGATGCCACCTAATGTAGTATGTTCCGCTTACGGCCGTAGCCTCCAGTACAAGGTTTTGACAAGAACACCTTAATTCAGTAAGTCATGTTAGCAGAAACTACAGATCATCAATCCAACTAATTCATGTAATTTTTCTTCAGTGCAGTAATTCTGTCAAGATTCAGTGAATCCCACTTTTTTTCCTGAGGCCTCAGCAAAGAATTACATGGGACGAGCCTTAACCCTAGATGAAAACTTCAGAGAACACAACTTTGCAAAGAGACACATTATTTTCTACTGGACCAGCTGATATTAAAACAATTCTTTAAAAGTTGGCAAAACTAATTTCTGTGTCCAAAACAAGCACAAAGAAATACAGTAACACGTTGCCCTGGTTTTGGCTGGGATAGAATTAATTTTCTTCTTAGTAGCCAGTATAATTCTGTGTTTTGGATTTAGTATGAGAATAATGTTGATAACACACTGATGTTTTAGCTGTTGCTAACTAGTGCTTACACTCATGCTCTACTGACTGAGAAGGCTGGAGGTGCAGAAGAAGCTGGAGCACAGCCAGGACAGCTCACCCAGACCGGACAAAGGAATATTCCATGCCATATGATGTCATGCCCAGTATATAAACTGGGGAGGAGTTGGCCAGGTGGCAGTGACTGCTGCTCGGAAATGGGCTGGGTGTTGGTCAGCAGGTGGTGAGCGGTTGGATCACTTCTTGTTCCTGGGTTTTGTTCCTCTCTTTATTGTTGTTTTCCTTTTCACCACAATTTTTGTATTATTATTGTTGTTATAGTTTTTTTTTTCAATTATTAAACTGTTTTTATCTCAACCCACAAGTTTTCTTACTTTTGCCCTTCCAATTCTCTCCCCCATTAAACTGTTCTTATCTCAACCCATGAAGTTTTTTCACTTTTACTCTTACGATTCTCTCCCCCATCCCACCAGCCAGGAAGTGAGCAAGCGGCTGTGTGGGGCTCAGTTGCTGGCTGGGGTTAAACCACGACACGTGATCATTTCACTACACGTTTTTTTAAAAGACTTTTGGGAGTGCATGAAACAAACCAAGGACCTTCAGAGTGTTGTTAAATAGGGCTCTCTGGATACAGCTAAACAGTGAAAACCCAGTGAACTTCTTATCCACATCTAAACTGAATCCAGTTGGCGGCTGGTCACAATTGGTGTTCCCCAGGGCTCAGTGCAGGGGCCGGTCCTGTTCAATATCTTCATTGATGATCTGGATGAGGGGATTGAGTGCACCCTTAGTAAGTTTGCAGATGACACCAAGTTGGGTGGAAGTGTCGATCTGCTGGAGGGTAGGAAGGCCCTACAGAGGGACCTGAACCTGTGCTGCACGTGCACCAATACCACAGTCTTAGCACATGACTTTGAAAATCCACCTGGAAACAAATAATTGTTGAGACACTCAGACCGAAATAACCACATATTCTTGCAAGTTTTAGGGTTTTAACCTTAGGACTTTTTTTGATGCAGACAAGAATTCCACTAAAAAGGAAGTTCTTCATAACGGATTGTACAGCTTTAGCCATACCAATATATAAATCAAATGATCTAACTGTTACAGCTCAATAAGCTCACCTTTATATTAATGTAAAGGTATTCTTAACAGGGAACATAAATGTGTTACCTTTCTACTTAAGACATTCTGACATTATCTAATTTTATCAACCCCTGGTGTTGTACCCATAAAATAGTTTTATTTTGCTGCTCAAATTGTGATAATTAAAGGAAAAAAAAAACAACAAAACCACAACAAAACAAAAAAACCCACAAAACAAAAGCATCAGTGCCAGAGCCAGGTGTGAAACAGGTCCAAGCAATTTTGTGACTCACCAATTCTGTACATCAGAACTTTGCTTCCATGCGGGTCCCTTGATCTCAGGACTCCATGATAGCCAGCACGCAAAAGACCAAGAACAGAAGATGGTTGTAAATCTGCACTTATTTCTGGGCATTCAATTCTCCACTTCTGGTAATTCTTCAATAACTGGAAAAAAATAAATGTGGATGACAGATAGCCATCAGGTATTACATGAAGAGCACAGTTAAAAATGTGTTTTCAACATACAGTCACAGTCAGAGGTTTAACTCATTAAATTAGCTATCAGTTCATTGTGTATTTTAATCAAATCCCTCCTAGTAGTAGAAGGTTGCTATACTGGATCAAATAAGTGAGTTAAGTTATGATGAATTTAGAATCCTGTCAACTTGTTAATGGACTGCAGTTGCCATTTTGTGTCAGAAAACTGGAATATGGAGAAAAAGCCAGTAAAATACATCTAAAACTAGTTTTCTTACTCAGGTTACATTTAGGATTATTCCGTTTGATACTGCATCAGATTTGTTCAGGATTTGTTGAACTTAGATGTGCAAAATCTTGGAGAAACATTCCCCCTTCACCATCTCACCCCACATCCCACCCCTGCTAAGTATGGGCCCATCTTGTACACAGAGTAATTTCAGTTTAGTATTTGAAACAGATTTGATCATCAGCATGTCTAAAGCACATTTTCAAATGGCAGAATATAACAATGTACTGGGTCTATTACCCATTAAACAATTTCCCTGCCCAGGAGTGGAAATAATGAGAACCTGTTTTGCTACAATAGGCATCCTGTCCATTATCAGGGACATGATCACCCTGGTTCCATGCTGCTGGAAGGCAGCATCATAAGCTAGGACGTCTAAGGCACAGGAAGGGCTGTGTGTTGAAAGGCAATGGCCTAACTCTAAGGAAGAGTCAATTAAAGGTGTTCCTTTCTGAGGTAACATCTATGTAGAGAAATTACAGGTGATACTGTGAAAGGTCATCTTAGAGATGGATCATGAAAAATTAAGTTGGTGATGCAGTAGTTCCAATTTCCAAGTCTAATTACTGTTTCGCCTTTAATATTAATTAAGTGGCGGTGGAGAAAATGAACTGCTATGCCCTGCAACTAAGATTTATTTAAGCCATTTTGCATAGGTAAGTGGGAAGCTATGCAAGACTATCTTCTAAAAAGCTTCCTCCCAATTTATCAACTAAATTCTGCCTCTGCTGTATCACCCATGCTAAGTTCTCTAGCACTAAGTTTGGAGGGTAGAGGGATAGCTATGGCAAGTAACTTAGATTTTGTATTAAAGTTTCCTAAATAGCTACAGTTTAGACTTCTAACCTGAAACCTTCAAAGGAGCTAAGAGAATTAGAATTTTTCAGTACCTTGTTTCACAACAAACTGAAATGTAGGTTTAAATCTCAAAGGTAGCATGCACAGGCTAGCCTTTCAAATTGTTACTATATTTCATCAAACAGCAAAATCAATCCGATCCTTAGCACAGTTTCACAAAACGTGTTCACCACAACAAAAGCATCAACCAACAGTCTTATTTCTGTTAATTCGTATTAACAGAAATTAAATTATTAATTTCTCAATTACTCCATATTTCACAACAGAAACATTACAGTTAAAAAACCTCTCAGCTCCAGCTAATAAAACATAACCTTAAATAAATTACAAATTTCTTGTTTCTATGCAAGTATGATTTTCTTCACAATTTTCATAGAAAGAATGGTCAGAAGGAACCTCAGTGGATACTGAATTCATCCCTTGGAAGATCACAGTATCAGCTACGCTGATGCTTACCTACAGACTCTTGGAGGGAGACCTGAGACTCGTCATCCTGTACCTCATAGCATGCTTGTGTTCGATAATTAGTCTTATTTCTTACCCTTCCCTCTACTTTCAAGTTCCTTGTATTGTTTTACATAAAACACATACTTTTTCTTCAGCTTAAGGCTTTTCTGCTCAGATGAAGGTCTTGAATTATTTTGAAGGTCTCTCAAATGACTTGTCATAAGAAAACTATTTATAAGGCATTACTGTTTGTCAGCAGAATTTACTTACAAATAGATGATATACTGATCAGAAATTATCTATATCCATCACGGAAATAGCACCTATACATATGTATTTGTAGGTACAAAAATGAAACAGTTCATCTGCCACGCTAGAATCGCATTTGATTTGGCAATGAGAAAGTTGATAAAAGCCTCATCCTAAACCATACACCGTAGACAGAAATATTTAACCATTAGGAGAATTTTACTAGAAGCCTTTGACTGCATTAAATCAGTTCTAGTCTAGACTAACTTAAAAACAAACAAACAAAAAAGGTTGGGGGGGAGGAAGTAGGATTCACTGATTGCAAAGACAGGCCTGATGAGGTACTCCGATTATCTCACTCTGTTAGTGCTTGACTCTCTACAAAGGGCACCGTTTGAGCAATCCCAACCGCTTTGTGCCAGCCAGACAGCACTGTCAACATAGTATGTTCTTTTCCTTGGTCTTTCCAATACAGACACATAAGCAGCAGAAAAATACAAAACCACCCTCAAAACAACTATGCAAACATCTGTAGCTTTGTCATTTCTCTGTTTTCTTCTAAAATCTGTTGTACCACTACTTAATGAACCTAATTATTACATAAATATTTTAAACATCTTTTTGACGAGCTGCCTGCCAAAACCAAGATGAGCGTAAAAATGATACATTCATTCAATACCCTAAATAATCCTATCTTGTCAGTACAGTTAGTTTCTCATTTTCATGAATATTTACATTTTCCAAGTTGGAAGTAACAAGGATTTAAGTTCTGGACTTTGGGAGAAAGGGAATGATGTTCGCAGCTTGTGACACACTCAAGACCCTTACGGAAGACAGAATTTATCTACTGGTGTGTCCGTTAAGGAGTAAATATATGGATGGAATACTTCTGACACCTTCCATGACGTGGGCAAGTGGTACATCTGTTAGACACATAACATGGCTAAGCTCCAAACATAATTCCCTTGGACAGAAAGCCACAAAGTGCTGAAGAGTTCTCATTTGAAAACCTAATCTAATTACCTGAAATGATTTAGAACTGAAGTAAAGGTTAGCATTAGACAACCTTCCACAGCATCTACAGCTCGTTTTTGGACCTATTCTCTAAATTTTTACTTATGTAAACAATTCCTTTCTTAGCTGCTGGACATACTCAAGTCACACACAGCTACTTACATGAGTAATCCTTAAACATATAATAGAATTCAAAAACCAGCAGTGGGTACTTACAGTTTTACTTTATTTTGAAAATTTCTAGTTTAACATTGTTTAAACACAGAAATTCACATGAAATATTTTTAAAATGTGAAAATATTTTGTTAGTAAAGACAGCAAGGAAAAACATATATATATATAACAATCAGTCTGGATATAGAAGATGAAGCAACTTAGTATCAGGAAAAACAGGGTATAAAAAATTGTACTTATAACACAAGCGAAACATCCCAATGTATAATTATCTGTGTTTACAAACTGAATAACCTACTTAGCATCCACTCAGCCTCTGAAAATAGATGTAAGACAACTTGATAAATGGGGAAAGCTGGATGAAAAACTCCAATGTCTGGAGTTAAGCATTAATTAAGAGTTTTTTTTCCCTGAGGTCTGTTGGGGATAGTTCCAGATTTCTTAACATCAGAGATGATAAAGTTACTGATTAATCCAAGATTCATGTGCTACAAAACAAAGAAAAGTGAACTTAGTACTTAGAATTAAAAAAACTAGAAAACAATGTGCTTGTTACAGAAACCAATGTATTTGTATATTTAAATTAGTTATTTTTTTCTGGACTAATAACTATTTATTCATATTAACAAGGATGCTAGACAGAATTAGGCCTCTGCTCTATCAGCAATTGTACCAATGCACACGATGTTTAGAAAAAAAACATTTTCTATTGGCAATCTTCGGAGGAGAAACCAAGAGCTCAGACTTTGGAATATAAATATATATATACACACACATAAACATACACCTCTGTGCATATATATTTTATATTTTTTTTATATATGTGTATATAGCTACACACAGAATTTAATCATATGGTATACACAGACCAAGAATTTAAAATATTTTTATAGAGACATAGAACTTTCCCAATTTCACATGCATTACCTCTTTGCCAGTTGGGAGAAGACTGGCACATACGTAAGTTGAGTCATTTGGCTTAGCACAAAGGAAAGACTGGCTGACTGATTTGCGTTTCCTCAACAGTCAGGCCAGAGAGCCTAATAGGGGCTCTTCCATCCTTTTTGAGGAATCCTTCTGTATTGATAGAAGAAAAGCAGCCAAGTAACTGATTTAAACTTGGTATTTATATTTGAATGATGTGAAGATCCTCAGAGATAATGCCTGAGACTCAGCAGTATGTTTGACACAATGGAAAACAATCCTCCTTGTATATCATAGTTATTCTAAGCAACTTATTTGCAGTATAACACACTAGGAAGAGTTGATTCCTCCATAAGTCAAATGCAGGACAAAGACAAAGTCTGCCTATATACCTTCCTATCAACCAGAACTCCTAAAAGGATCCTAGATATTTAGACAGTTTTGAGTGCCATAAAAACGATACTTAGAAAAGTCTAAGTAGTATGTTATGAAAACATCTCTTGGCATAGGGTTTCAATGTTGCATTTTTACTGAATTTAAAGATTTTCATTTGTTTCCCCAGAGTATAATCTATTTCAAGTACAAAAAGACAGTATCCCCAAATCACTGAGAATTAGCCTTATACAAGAGCTGTGGAATGCAATGCAAGGACGTAATAAAATGCACTAGGCAAAAAGATTTATGGAGGAAAGGAGATGGTAGGTCTCCAGATTTCACATATCACTACTGAATCCGAGTGACAGTGTTTTTGATCACAACAATGAAGTCAAACACAGACACATGGCTGGTACATTTTAAAAGTGATATATAAACCCATTGCTTTAGCACAATTAATGGAGACCCGTGGCCCTGCTTCTCATTTTACAGCATACATAGTAGGTAGGTGTATCTGTACAAATTAATGAGCAAACAACATGCTCAGCTCAGGTACGAATTTATATCCAGACTAAAATCTTTTGCAGCATTAACATCTGATCCCTACCTCTATGTCCCACAGGGATTACAAAGGCAC